ACAATGGATGGGCCATTAGCACCCCTATATCAGAACAATTTCGAAGTATGTATATTTCGCCATCCGATCTCCTATACTGTCACGAAAAAAATTTAGAATACCGTATATTATGGACATATACATCCCTCAAACAATAACGATCAAACCACAATTAATTGCATATGTTCATTATATAAAAGCATATCAACTTCGTATGGGGGCGGAGCCAGCACACTGCGAGCAATGGTGGCCGCCCGTGCTAGCTCCATCAGAATTTTTTTCCCATAAATTGGGTGGCCGCTCAACGGCTGCCGCGTTTGCTAGATTCACCTTAGCTTATTCGAATTCGTGGATCCGCCACTGACTAATTATCATGATTTCTATGATGCACAAAGGATATAGGAGAGTCCATACATATATTAGGTCATCCTAATATTCCCACCATAATCCATATGGTAGGAAAATATTTGGAGGAGGTCATTAATAGGGAGGCATGAGATCCCGAGGACACTTCATTGTAGTGAAAAACTTGCAGCAATAAATGGTCGAGCTCTTACAAATCAAGGTTGAACCACACAGAATTTTTGTGTGCACTTTGTGTATTTCTATTTCATTCTGACTTCACTTTATCATTTTATAACGGGCAGGCGATGGTGTAGTCGTAAAGGGCCAAGCATATGGAATTCGTAGTATAAGGGTGGATGGAAATGATGCACTTGCTGTTTATAGTACTATTCGCGCAGCTCGGGAAATGGTCATACATGAGCAGAAGCCCGTATTGGTCGAGGTGAAACTGGAACCCTTTTTTCTCTCGTTATTCAATTGTTCGTTTCTCTTAAACACATCTGGAACGTTTACACAAAATTATAAGTCGTCTACTATTTATTTTTTGGATCGTTAGGCCCTCAGTTATCGAGTAGGACACCACTCTACTTCCGATGATTCCACCAAATACCGGCCAGTAGATGAGATCGAACACTGGAAAACAGCGAGGAGCCCCTTGGCTAGATTTCGAAAGTGGGTTCACAAAAACGGTTGGTGGACAGATGATGAGGAATCCGAGCTTCGTGGAAGCATCAGGAAGCAGGTCGAATATTTCATCAGTGCTGCATATTTTTATATAAATCTTTTCATATTTGCATAAACGCGTTTGATAAAGCTATTAAATAGCACCAGACATTATAAAGAAATGAATTGTAATAGCCAATCTTGCATTGTTCTGCTTGCAGCTACTGAACGCAATTCAAGTGGCAGAGAAGACGGAGAAACCCCAGCTTGCAGAAATGTTTTCAGATGTCTACGATAATCTTCCATCGAATCTTCACGAGCAAGAGAAATCTCTTAGAGAAACCATTAAACGACACAGGCAAGATTACCCTACTGATGTGCCTCTATAAATGATTCTGAAGGAAATTTCAACTGTGAATCAATGACAGTTGACCTAATCCATAGCTATACTATGTAGAACAGAATTGCAAAATCTAGTGTTGTAGCACCATACTTGCTGTGATCTGTCCCTCGGTACTCTCTTGAGTAGTATCATATTAAATTTGTCTTCCATGTTAGTGTCACTTCAGTTATCCTATGCACGACGAGTTTTGCTAGTTTTTAATATGCTACAACCATGCAGATTTTTAGAGTCGAGCTTATCAAACTTGTATTAAGCAATTAAATTTGTTTTATCGACTAGAGAAACTAGTGATTTTTTGAATTAGCTCATCCTTGCGAG